TTCAGATCTTAGTACAGCACACCGATTTGGTGAGGCTGGGTTCATTGAGCGGCTGCTGCTGCTGCTGCACGAGTATTGTCCACACAAACACGACCCAGCACCAAACAAAACATATTAATACTAAAACCCTCTTACATGCAGTCAACTGATTCTTCTTGACATCCCTCTCAACTATTCATGCATAAACTATAATTTCTAAAGCAAAATGCAGTTTTTCCAAATATTTAAAAAAGCGTTTTTGGACACTGCCCCGAACTACATAAATGATAATTAATAAATGTTATATATAAGTGATAATCAATTAATATTGCATATGGGGAAGTTTCCCCATATGCAATATCAAGAGTTCTGTTTTTTTTTTTTCATAGCAACATTTATATATATATATATATATATATATATATATATATATATATATATATATATATATATATATATATATATATTATTAAGGCATTTATTAGCCGGCAACCAGCGAGCGTACACAATGGCGACAGTCACAGCCAAGCACGGAATCTCAGCGCGAGCTGCGTCCTTGTTGGGTAGCCCCACTAGAAGGTACTCAAGAATTCGACTCATTTCAGAGTTCGGAGGCTTTGCTACAATTACCCCGGGGTCGAAAAGGGAGCCGCCTGGCGACCTAACAGCTTGTTACTATGAGCTGGTCATAATAAGCCTTCAGGTGCTCCACGTTGACGATGTCGGACCCACGGCGGCGCGTGTCCGAAGATTGTTCGACGGGTTCGATCAGATAGTTGACCGGAGATGTGCGCTCGATGACACGGTAGGGGCCTTTGTATTTGGGAAGTAGTTTGGAAGAGAGGCCAGCTACAGATGTCAAGATCGAGAGCCATACAAGCGCACCAGAAAGGATTGTGGGCTCAGAAATGGTGGAGCAATCACGAATACTCTTCTGCCGCTCTTGCTCATCTGTTGTAAAAATCTTGGCAAGCTCGCGACACTCTTCAGGAAGCCTGGCTCTCTCAGAAATAGGTGCACACTCAGATGGATCCGGCGTGTACGGGAGTATCGTGTCCATGGCGTGCGACGGGTGCCTTTCGTTCAGCAAGTAGAAAGGTGAAAACCGGTCGTGCTCTGAGGGGCGGTGTTGTAGGCGTAGGTGACGAAGCGCAGTATATTATCCTAATTCGTGTGGTTGGCGGCGACGAACATCGAAAGCATGTCGCCGAGGGTGCGGTTAAAGCGCTCGGCGAGGCAATTCGTCTGCGGGTGGTAGGCAGTAGTTATACAGTGGACAGAATGACACTCCGTCAGAAAGGCTTCGACGACTTCCGACAAGAAGAAACGGCCTTGATCGCTGAGAAGCTCTTGGAGTGGTCCCTGGCGCAGTATGAATTGATGCAGCAGGAACGACGCAACATCGCGCGAAGTAGCCGCCGGGAGAGTGGCGGTTTCGACGTATAGCGTTAAATGGTCTACAACAACGTTGGCCCAGTGGTTACCAGCCGACGTCAGAGGAAATGTTCCATACAAATCGATACCTTCGCGCCAAAAGGGACAGTCAGGGCAAGGTAACGGTTGCAGAGCAGCGTGCGACATGTGTGCTGACGATTTGCGGCATTGGTAAACGAGGCAAAAGCGAACGAACTGCTGCACGTAGCTGTACATCCCGCGCCAGAAGTAGCGTTGTCGAATGCAGTGGTAAGTTTTGGATACCCCAGAGTGCGCACATTGCGGATCAGAATGAAAAGATTCACATATCTCCCACCGCAGACTGTGGGCTATGACGAGTAACCACTGCCGGCCATCGGAGTCGTAATTGCGTCGGTGTAGGAGGCCGTCACAGATAGCGAAATGGTGAGCTCGACGACGCAAGGCACGCGTGGATGGTGTTGCAGACGGATCAGAGAGAAAGTCGATCAGCGGGCGATCCAATTATCCTTTCGCTGTTCGATAGTGAGGATGTCAACATCGATGGCAGATACAGCAATTGAGATTACTGAGTAGGGCACTGTCGTCTTGAGGTAGAGGGGAGCGCGAGACGGCATCGGTGTCAGCATGCTGGCGTCCGTTGCGGTACAGCGCGCAGATGTCGTAGTCTTGTAAGCGAAGAGCCCAATGGGCGAGACGGCCCGAAGGATCCATAAATGATGAAAGCCAGCATAGTGCATGATGGTCGGTGAAGACATCTAATGGGCGACCATACAAATAAGGTCGAAACTTTGTAAGGGCCCAGACAATTGCCAGGCACTCTTTTTCATAAATGATGAAAGCCAGCATAGTGCATGATGGTCGGTGAAGACATCGAATGGGCGACCATACAAATAAGGTCGAAACTTTGTAAGGGCCCAGACAATCGCCAGGCACTCTTTTTCCAGGACAGTGCAATTTGTCTCGGCTCTTGTGAGCGCACGGCTTGCATACGATACGACATAATAAGAAAATCAGGGTTTGCGCTGTGCCAAGACAGCGCCGAAGCCTACACCGCTGGCGTCCGTGTGACCCTCCGTTGGGGCTGTAGGGTCGTAGTGAAACAGAATGGGAGGCGACGTCAACAAATGGCGGAGCTTTGCGAATGCGTGGTCGCATTCGGATGACCACGAATTGAGGGGCCCGCTACTTCCAAGAAGCTTCGTCAGCAGTGATAAGATCATGGCAAAGTTTCGTATGAAGCGTTGGAAGTATGAGCACAGGCCCACGAAACTATGCAGTTCTTTGATAGATGCAGGTTAGGGGAATTTGGCCACGGCCCGAAGCTTGGCAGGATCAGGAAGAATGCCGTCCTTGGCCACGACAAACCCTAGGATGGCGAGTTGCCGTGCTGCGAAGTGGCACTTCTTCAGATTTAGTTTCAAGCCGGCATTGCTCACACGTGTGAAAACTTCTTTCAGACGTTGAAGATGCGTGGAGAAATTCGAAGCGAAGACAATGACATCGTCGAGGTAACACAAGCACGTGTACCATTTCAAGTTGCGCAGAACGGTGTCTATCATGCGCTCAAAGGTAGCAGGTGCATTACATAGACCAAACTGCATGACGTTAAACTCGTTTAAGCCCTAAGGTGTGATGAAGGCGGTCTTTGGTCGAGCGTCGTGAGCCATGGGTACTTGCTAGTACCCAGAGCGCAGATCGAGAGAAGAAAAAAATTCGGCTCCAAGAAGGCTGTCAATCGCATCATCGATGCGTGGCAGTGGTTAAACATCTTTGCGAATGATCTTATTGAGCTGTCTATAGTCAACACAGAACCGCACAGAACCGTCTTTCTTCGCAACAAGAACAACAGGAGACGCCCATGAACTGTCTGAGGGCCGAATAATGTCGCGTTAGAGCATATTGTCAACCTGCTCATTAATTACCCGACATTCAGCAGGCAACACGCGATATTGACGTTGCCTTAAAAGTAGATGGGCCTTAGTGTCAACGCAATGCGTAACAGCGGACGTGCGACCCAGAGAACTTCGCCCGACATCGAAAGAAGAACGATATTCTTGCAACAGGTCCAGAAGCTGGGAACACTGTACTGCCGTAAGATTGTCAGCGATGGAGGGGCCGAATACATCAGCAGATGACGGATCAGAAGTGGAAACAGCATTGATGGTACACAACCTGGGACAACGAGTGTCATAGGGTATGTCGAGGATTTGTCCGTCGTCAACTGGTTCCACTCTGCTGAGACATTCCCCTCGAAGCAAGGTAACAGTGTGCAGGAATGGGTTGGTTATAAAAATAGTGGCATTGCCCTGGTTGACCTGCACGGTCACGAAAGGTACTAGCAACCCTTTCCTGCTACAAGCGCGGTCGGATGGTGAAACGAGTGAGCCGTCGTCGAGTTTGGAGGCACTGTTGTAACGTGTTTCATTATAATCCTGCTGAGTGTTGAGAGACTGTCTTCTGGGGTCAAATGCGAGAAGGGTGAGAGTTCAATTTTCGCGGCGGCACAATGGATGATGGCGTCATGGCGGGAAAGAAAGTCCCGTCCCAGGATGACGTCATGAGAGCTTGCCGGAATGATGAAAAACTGGGCCACATACAGAACGTCCTGAATGACAACGCAAGCAGTGCACCCTGCTGTAGGATGAATATGATGCAAACTAGTAGTACGAAGGGCCAACCCAGAAAGTGGCGTCGTACTTTTCGAAGTAAGCGGCACAGTTTTTCGTCTATAACTGATACGGCAGCTCCAGTGTCAATAAGAGCCGATGCACAAACACCGTCCACAAGCACATCAAGGACATTCGAGGGGCTGCTCTGAGGGCTTTCACATTGCGAAAGCGTCGCAGTCCTTGCCTCGGGGACTGCGACGACTAGTTTTCCCGCTCATGGGCAGCCGAACTTGGCCGCATGGGGGACAGAGAACGACGTCGTGAAGACGGCGACCTTCGAGGAGATGGACCTGGGTGAAACGATCGTAGCATAGACGGCGGTTCTTCGTGATAGGGACAGCTGAGCTGGTCAGCAACAGGCAAAAAAATTGGAGCCGGCTGTGCACGATGACAATAACGGGCTATGGACCGGCGATACCGCAGGCAAAGCAGATGGGCCGGTTGTCGGGTGTGCGCCATATGTTCACCGGGGTAAATCTCCTCATGTCGCAAGGGCCAATGGATGGAACGGTGGCTGTATGGTGGGCTGAAGCTGAGGGGTTACGTCAACATATGTAGTGGGCATACCTGCTGCAAAGGACGGAGGCCAAGCAGCAGCTTCGGCGTAGGTCAGAGCGGCAGGTGCTGGAACGACTTGAGGCAGCCTGGCGACCACTTGGGCGTAACTAAGGGGCGCAGGAGCCCGAGGCTGTTGGGGGTGGTACGCAGGCATTACCTCCGCTATTTCCTGCTCAATCGCTTGACGGATGGGAGAGAGAAGGGTAGTAGCCAATTGTTGAACAGCCTGTTGGTGGGCAAAGGGCAAGAGAGAGAACTGACACACGATTTCCTCACGGATGAAGGACTATAGGTCTGCCATCAACACCACTTGGTCACAACTGCCCTGCAAGCCAGCAAGCGTTACAGCTCGTGGTGGGGAGCGATAGGTCATCGAACGCTGCCGGCGGAGCTCCTCGTAGTTCTGGCACATTGTGATGACCTCAACCACTGTGCCGGCGTTTTTGGCGAGCAGCATCATGAAGGCATCATCGTCAATGCCTTTTATGATGTTTTGGACCTTGTCAATCTCGGACATGGTGTGATTGGATTTGTTGCGAAAGTACAGGAAATCTTCAATATAGCTGGTGAATGACTCGCCAGCCTCCTGAGTGCGTTCACATAAGCGCTGCTCGCCTTGCAGCTTGTGAACAGATGGGCGGCCGAAATCGATGATAGCGTTCTTAAAATCGGACCAGGTTGCAAAATCGGACGCGTGGTTGTTATACCACAAACTAGCAACACCCGCAAGGTAGAACACCAAGTTGGCAAGCTTGCCGTTCCCATCCCATTTGTTGGGGACGCTCACGCACTCGTATGTGGCGAGCCAGTCCTCCACGTCAGTGCCATCAGAGCCAGTGAAGATGGGTGGATCGTGGATTCTGAAGACACCAGGACAAGGAAGTGGCAGGGGAGGAGGCGTATGCTGAGAGGCGCCAGGGGACATGGTAGTTAGCAGGGTACGTGATCGTAGCTCCAAGGGCATTGAAGGAGATAGCAGATCTCTCCACCAATTTGTTAAGCATATATTAGCCGGCAACAAGCGAGCATACACAATGGCGACAGTCACGGCCAAGCACAAACTCTCAGCGCAAGCGGCGTCCTCGTTGCGTAGCCCCACCAGAAGGTACTCAAGAGTTAGACCCATTTCAGAGTTCGGAGGCTTCGCTACAATATATATATACATACATACATACATATAAAACAATAAAAAAAGTCAACACAATCCAGAGAATCAGGAGAGGACTCTGTATCTTATTACTAGTATTGCAAGTGGAAAAGGCGCAGATGTTTAAGTACATCTTGCATGCAGACTTCATCGCCCCTAGTGGGCGGTCATGTGTTGAACACATTATCAGCCAGATATTTCAATGGCTCAGCACTCATGACCACAAATAGAAAGCCAGTGTTAAAAAAAAGGAAAGAATCTACATTACCCGTCATTTATTTATCATGAATCACAAAATCATTGTCTTTAAGACAAATGCTAATTTTCAGTTTCGGAGTACCAATGATGGCAGACAGTACAAATATGAAAAAAATAGGAGAGTGGAGAATAAAAGAAGGTCACTATGTCAAATGATGACTAAGAATACTTGAAGGACATGTTGTTGTTCTAAACACACATACTGCTAGCCGTACGAAGGCGTTTACCAATATAAATTGCAAGACAACGGTGGGTACAGCAAAAACTAAAGAGAACCAAAGAGAAGTGTGAAACTAGGTGAGTGGCACAGCTGCAGCTACAAACATCAGTGAAGTTAGAGCGATTAGTGCGATGAAAAATGATTACACACATGTTCGCGAAAAGAATCTGGATCGGTGATGGAGGCGATGCAGTCGGGAAGATCGTTCCTTAACGATATGGCCTTAGGAAGCGCTGATAAGTTGAATGCCTTCGTTTTGCCGTAAATGCGAGTGAAACTAAGGTGATTGTGCAGGCGTCTGGACATGCGCAATGGTGCTGTTAGGGGTAGCGTAGAACGTCTTGTGCTGTGAATATATTTATGCAGCAAACATAACAGTGCAACAGAGCGACGAACGTGCAAATGCAAAATAGAATGTTCTTGTTTTAATGTTGTTACGCTGCAATGAGTGCTATAATTGCGAGATATAAACCGGGCTGCTCTGTTTTGTATGGACTCTAGCATTGTGGTTAGGTAATCTTGGAAAGGGGACCAGACTGAAGATGCAAATTCCAGCTGGGAGCGTACATAAGTGAAATAGGCCAGTTTACAGATGCTTGTTGGAGACTATCGCATAAAGCTGAATAAAAATTGTGCGGACTGCGAATGTACTAAATAACATTTAAACCTTGGAAAAATTATTACGTATTAAACACAACCAGTGCACTCTGATACCCCGACACAATTTGAATTAAAAGGCATGAGTGACGAAGCAAAACATCAAGATATATGGGTATATGTGCAAGAATGTACGAAAATATGAACATAAAAAATTAACAAAGAAATATATACAAAATATAGAACACTTCCCTCTCGGAAGAAATGCATAGACTTAACGATGGTCTCTTACAATGCTTGCATGAATGAAATCTCGTAAAGCATTTCAATAAGAAAATAATTCACGTTGCCCTTAGACCCCCTCTTGATATGTGCTTCATCGTTTACACTAGAGAGACAAGACACCAATTTTAGTCTGCAGGCTGTCTTTAGGAGTGTCTTTTCCCTTGTCGGCCTATGTACACTGCAAAGACACAAGCAGTCCAGCGGTGGTCTCACGAAGGCCCCGCCAGTGCCTTGTCGTGCTCAGAGTCTTTTGTTGGCCAATTCTCTGGTCACATTGGGAGCACACGCAGTGACACCGACTAAACTAGCACACCTACACCTCATCTTCAGCAATGCTCCCTGCTCTGCCTTAGTTCCACTCCGGCTACTCGGCGCAGCCCTCCCCATAATTTACAGTAACGAAGGACGATGTTGGGGATACAATATAGGATAGCGAAGAAAAGACTTCCGTTGGATGCTCGAGCTGCCTATTCAGACGCCAGCGAAAGCCTCGGGGAGGGCATTGTTAACTCCCCCAAGACTGCCCTCTTCGTGGTCATTTGAAGCAAAAACATGGGGCCAATTTTCGCTCAGCCGTCGATCTCCCGGCGACTCGCCAACAACAGGGCTGCGGAGGCATTTTGCTGGGGTTTTCGGTCTCTCATCATGTTACCCTACGATGAAACGCTCTATTGTGAGGCCTCGTTGTCGTCGGCCTAGTGTGACCATGGTGTCTCGCAACTTTGTCAGCGGGCAACTCGTCAGCCGATGGTTTGCGTCTGCCTCGTGTTTTCATCGGGCTCATGTCAGAAGTCTCTCTAGTGTAAACGCGCCTTTACAATACACAAAATAAGTGATACAGTGCTGCCAATAACGAGAAATGAGACAATGACTCTGAATATCGCTGTAGTTGGGAGCTACTACTTATAGGTACACTAGGACAGAAATGTCTTTTGTGTTATGCTTCCATCAGAATGTGCCATGCGAGCTCTAGAAACTCTGTACATCGCTTTCACTGTAGTCTTGACAACAAGTTTCCCTGAAATTAAGCAGAGAAACTGTTAAACTGAAAAAATTAATATACATGTTTCCTTAAACTGAGGTTATGTATACATATTGTTTTGATGGCATGGTTGTAACAGGATAACTGATATGTTAAGCTGAAAACAATATACTGGATCTTCTGTCCGAGGTTCAAGACAAAACTCACATAAAACTCAAAACAAACGACCTTGAGCTGATGAACTTCAAAAAAAGACACAAATTTGACACAGCAGTATAGCCTTACTTTAGTGGGTCGTGGCGGTAGGTTTAGCCAATCGACATTCAAGGGAAATCAAACAGTGATTATGGAATGGCTACAAAACACACAAAGGCACTTATCTCTATTTCCATATCAATTTTTATTAATACTTACAGATTTCTCTATAAACTCAATTGCTCACACACCAAATAAAGATTTTATGTACTTCAGATCTTGACAATAAGATTTAATCAGTCAATTATTTTTCTGTGCTCGCATAAATGCCAAATGCATTTGACTTTTAGGGTGTTCTTTTTTGCAAAGCAATTGTATATTTGGATATTCAAGTTTTCTTTCTAAGAAAAGGATTCATTACAGTGGGCTCAAGAAAAGGAATGTTCATCTGTGTGGATGTGCATGTGACGGATTAAGTGGTCCTTTCTTAAAAAAGACGTATTACAGTAGTCACATGAAGTACAATGCTATTTCATGTGGGAGCAAATGAGCCTTGAGAGATTCAAATGGTGAAAAAATTGAGCCGGACGAAAGTGGCAAAGGAAGGAATGCTCGCCTGTGTGTTTCTGCAGGCGTTTTCTAATCTTGAAGATACGTGGGGTTTAACGCCCCAAAACAACCATGTGATTATGAGAGATGCCTTAGTGGAGGGCTCCGACAATTTCGACTGCCTGGAGTATTTTAACAGCAGCCGAATCTGAGCACACGGGCCTACAACATTTTCGCCTCTAACCTCCCTGCCTTTCTTTTCCATTTGTTTCTCTCTCTCTAAAAATGCAACCACCGCAGTCGGGATTCGATCCCACGACCTGCGGGTCAGCAGCCGAGTATTTTAGCAACTAGACCACCACTTCGGGGCCGTTTCCTCCTAATCTTTGATTTCTACTTGTGCGTGTGAGGGAACCAAACCTTGCACAGACACGATTGAACTGCCAGAGAGGCGAAAACGAGGAACCTGCAGAGCCACAAAGAGAACAGCAAGGCAATGCAAGCCATGCGTCACAAAATGCACGGAATCAGACAGAAGTACTGGGCCATGAACAAAAGAGCTGGACTTGTAATTGAGGCTCATGATATTTGATTGCCATAGTTACAAGTTGCTCAAGCAGCAACCGTGCAAAGATTCAAGATTGGTCATCCTCAAGCTCCACTATTTCAAAGGGGTCTGATTTGAATGACATTCAGATATTCCACATAAATGACAACAAATTCGCGCTAATGTGCCAGGACAGTAATCCGTGAAGGTTTTAAATTATTGCACCTTTTTTTTATAGCATAAAATGTAAACATGACACAGGACAGCATTAGCATATACTTATATTGGACCATATCAAGCAAATAAAAATTATGAGAAAGCAGTTAATATGAAACTGAAAAATGTCAAGAAAAAAAAATTTATGATGCCTACATTAGCTCAGAAAATTTTTTCTGGCAGGAAAAACCCAGTCAGATTCTTACGCATAATGCAAATGCTACACATGCGTTAGTAGACTTTATTATTTTACCCATGATTTTATACAACGAGAACAAACCCAAATGTGATGTGCAATTTTAGAAGAAAATTGTTCACCACAAAATATTTCAATAACCTACGAATGTGTATGGTTACACATGTGCAAATCTTAGATTTTATACCGAACGAATAAGACAGCTAGACAATGACGGTACACTTAAAAGGCATCCTCAGCACCACTAAATAATTAAAACAGCACAGAATTCAACTTAGGGCACCACATGCAACTTAATGATCAAAATATTTATCAACTGCACACA